CTAAAGGCAACTTACTCCAACTTCCATGATGCATTTGGCTTTACCTTTCTCCAATCTTTAAAGAAGTTCTCGCGGAACACCTTCTTGGTGGTGTACTCGTGGTCCAGCATCTGGGCAAAGAACAGCGCCACCTCTTCTGCCGCCAGGCTCAGCTTTACCTTTTTACCTGCACACAAGCAGAATCATTTTTAACAGCATTAAACCAACCAAGCCTTATTGTCAGAACTATACGTTTATCGAGCCGTGCTAGTCAAGAACACGAGCCTTTGGGAGCTCGGGGTCCTCTGAAGATCCACCACCCCCACCTTAGCTCCTCCAGGCTGTCAGACTAGCCCGTGGATACAGGGAGGTAGGATTAGAGGCAAGGACAGTGATCTACATTCAAGTCCACTGCTAGGACCAACCTTTAAAAACATGCACGTGCAGGAATTAACAGATCAAACCAAGTCCCCATAGGACCCCGTTTGCAGCTGGACTGCTAAACAAAGCAAAAACAATTACAGCCATCAATCAGTATCCAGCTTCAAACACGTCTTGAATCCTAAAGGCCCAATAGTGTGCGGCTAGGTGTTCTGTGTGAGCAAACAAAGTCAGGATGTGTGTACGCTAGCGTTCACAAGACTGTCTTAAAATTACAGTCCAAGCTCAGACCTCATCCTGGGCAAAGCTGTGTGGCTGCACCTTTATGCCCAATGAGCTGAAGCGACTTTATAAAGTGTAACCTGAACAAACAAACACACACTTTAAACTTCTGCAATATAAATGGCTCATAAGAAGCTATATAACACCCGTCAGGCTCCATCATATGTCCAATTCTGGACATTTGTACGAAATACAGAAAAAGGAACTCTTCTCCATTGTCTATGGGAATGTCCTAAAATTCAGGAATTCTGGAAAGATGTCACCAAGTGTTTGAAGTGTTTAAGGTTAAAATCCCCTTAAAGGCTAAACTGTGTACTTGGAATATATCCAACAGGATTTTAGCAACCGATAAAGCAGACTAAATCACTGAGGAGCCACTGCACTATGCTGGACAAGTATGGATGCAGCCTCCATGGGACTCTGGAAGAAGGAAATCACAGATTCATACATTGCCATGGGCAAACAACGGCACTTTGTGAATATCTGGAATCCATACATAGATATCACAGGGAGTGGAGGTTATTCATGGGCAGGGAGGGATTTCTTTTTTGTATCAGTGTGAGAGCCGTGTTCATTTCTACACGTGATCTTGATGCAGGTCTGAAGTCTGGGTGTGTGAATGTGAGGGGTTTAAATATCTGTTTGTATTGCATAAAGACAATTTCACAGGACTGCATGAATACCTTTCAGAACTGCAATGTAACATTTCATTATTTTTTTTCCAATAGCAACTGATGATGTTTCTTGGAAAGCACTGCTCTTCTACAAAACTAAGCCGTGACCAGAGCAGCACACAAAGAGGATGGAGCTTTGGCCTTGGCTCTGGAAGGACACTCATGAAGGTTTGATAATCAGTCTAAAATCTTTCTAAAAGATAGTTTAATAAACCTTTTTAAAAGCTTCTGAAGAAACATCATTAACAGACTAGGGCTGCCACAAACGATTATTTTGATAGTCGACTAGTCAC